AGGCATGCTACTGTTCATGGGACAGTTATGGAAAATAACCACTTCAGAGAGCTTTATTTCATTTCTCAGCTCTGTTAGAGTGAACGTCATAACCGGGCTGAAAACCTTTGCATGCTTCCCCATCATGTTTAGAGAAAGGAGGAAGCTGGAGGCAGTCATACCTTTTCACTTCTCTCTGACCAGGCGGGATTGTATAACGTCAACAGGCAGGATAGACAGTGGTTAAGAATATGGACTCTGAAGCTGGGAGCTTTGAATTTAAACCCTAACTCTGCCACTAACTAACTGTGTGAATTAGGGCTGGTTCCTCCACCTGATACATCTGTGAAATCAGGACAACAATAATATCTACCTTCGTGGGTTTTGTTTTTTTTGTTTGTGAGAATTTAAATAAATAATATACTTAAGCCTCTTAGAACAGTGCCTAGGAATATTAGTGCGATATAAGTGATTGTTATTAGAAAATTTATTGTCATTAAAGAATAATACAAAGAATTGTTCACAAAATCATAAAATACCACCTCAAGACAGAAGTGTTTTCCCGAAGTTGTGGTCACTATGCAATTAGCTCTATGAAGATAGGAACTGTACTTTCTTTCTTCTTCTTGTTAAAAAAAAATGCATGAGGCATTTTTTGAGAGCAGAATGAAGAGCAAAGCAGATCAGATCTGGAAGTGAGGTCCAATGAGAGGATTTCTAAGGTTCATTCCAAATTTAAAATTCTATGGGGCTAGATGCCCTTTGACATTTTACAAAAGCTAATGTAATTATGGCTATGGAAGTCTTTTTTACCTACTGTGTTTACAAAATGGATGATCAAGTTGAAGAGAATGCCATTTGTTTGTGTTTTCCGAGTTCCCGTGCAAGAATCTGAATCACAAACAAATCTTTAAACCCATGAAAGTAAATTATTTGTAGCACAACTGATAACTTTTAAAGGGCTTGGATTGTGACACTAAAACTGTTAAGGACATTTTCCCATTCATCTGAAATGATTTTTTAGAGACTCTAGGAGTAAAACATAATCCATAGGTATCCAGTGCTTATTAATGCATTAGAGAATGAAAGTAGAACTCTTACTGAGTTTAGCTTAGCAATTCTCAACTATACGAAAATAAGCTGATTTAGTTGAGCTTTTAAGACATGAAAGTGGAAAGCACGAGGCTTTCGGGGAACAAGTACCAGGACTGCATTTCTTCAGACTGTGTCCCTGTATGCCAGGTTCCCCAGAGCTGCCTGGTCATGGTCATTGTCACAGTCACTACTAGGGCTAAAAGGAGTGTCCAGAGGCTTGTCTGCCTTCACAGGTCTGATAAGCTAGGTAGTGGCACAAGAATTTTAATTGGGGGAAAAACAAGATTCTGTTATAGGAAAAAGGAAGAGAGGGTGATTTGAAATAAAAGTCTGGATTAAGAATATGGGTTTTGGATCAAACAAGGTTTAAATGTTAGCTCTTTCTCATTTTGGCTTATTTCACTTAGCATAATACTTTCCAGGTCCATCCACTCTGTCCCAAAGGGTAAGAGATCCATTTTTTTTATAGCTGCATAGTATTCCATAGCTTTTTTATTCATTCGTCTACTGATGGGCACTTGGGCTGTTTCCAAATTTTAGCTATTATAAACAATGCTGCCATGAACATTGGTGTACATATATTCTTTCTGATTGGTGTTTTTTGTGTTTTATTTTTTTAGGATGTATTCCTTGAAGTTCCATTTTTAATTTTTTGAGGAGACTCCATACTATTTTCCATAGTGGCTGCACCAATCTGCATTCCCACCAGCAATGAACTCGTGTTCCCTTTTCTCCACATCCTTACTTCACATGATCTCACTTATTTGTGGAATCTAATGAACAAAATGAATTGACTAATAAAATAAGACCCAAAGCAGGGAGGCATGGAACAGAATGACATACCTCAATGTGGGGTTGGGGGGATGAGAAGAGATAAACCAAAGAACTTATATACTTATATGCATAGCCCATGGACACGGCAATAGGATAGTGAAGACCTGGGGTGGGGTAGGGGCTGGGAGGAGAGGGGGGAGGGGAGAAAAGGGGAGATATCTGTAATACTATAACAATTAAAAAATACATTAAAATAAATATAATGTATATTTAAAAAAATAAATGTTAGCTCTGCTACTTTTTAGCTACATGACCTTGCTCTGGTTGTTTAAAGTCACTAAGCCACACTCTTCACATACAATTATTTCTTCCTACTTCATAAGGTTACTGTGAAGATTAAATAAATAATACATGCAAAGCACTTGGCCCATGATGTCTAACACAGAATAAGCACTCAATAAATGAATGGTAGCGTCACTTACTCTCCTAAATGAATGACAGGGGCAGATAGTCCATATTCTCTTTGGGTGAGCTTCTCATTTCCTTCTGGAATGTCTCAGAGGCATAGGAAGCACTATCTAAGCTTTCTGTAATCAAAATTTGGGTTCAAACCTCAGTCTTTTTAGTAAGTCCTAAAAAAGCTATGATTTCCCCCTCCCCCCCCCCCCCAAGATCCATTCACGGTTTTATGTGGGCACTGAACAAAGGGTTCATTTTGTAAGACTGTCCAGCTAGGTTAAGAATAAAATATGCAGAAATGTGTGTAACTTTAACAATGAAATGTAGGAAAAATGGATTCTTCTTAGCTGAAAACAAAGGCATCCTAGAATGTGAGTGAGTATGTAAGTTCACAGACAAGGTCTACAAAGCAAGGGCACCAACATTGGTAACAGTAGTTACCTCTGGGGAAGGAAGGAAGATCAGGAGGAAGATTGGTATTGTCTTAACAGCTATTTACATATTATTTGTGTAACTAAAAACCAAAGCAAACAAACAAAAAAGCAAAACCAAAAACAAAGTAATGATTCAAACTGAACCAGTAGACAAAAATCAAGGAATTTATTCCTGGGGTTGTCATGACTGGACACAAAGTCACATTTTGTGTAGTTTGCCATCCTTGAGGAGTAAGAAAAGCAGGAGGAGGGATTCCTGATCCTATCTCTAGCAAATGACAGACACAGGTTCAAGGCAGATGAAGCTGCCTGTCAGATCTTGCTGCAAACTTCTTTCTCATGTACTCAGATAAGACCTCAGTACCCAGGCTAGTTCTTTGCAAAATTCAAGGTCTACAGAGGCACCAACTGAAGGCTATTGGTAAAATTATGCTTTTAAGGGGGAAGGACAATGGTAAATTGGTATATTAATTAGAACATTTCAATAGGAAAAAAAGAAACAACTTTTAAAAATCTACTTGACAGCCCTGGCCAGGTAGCTCAATTGGTAAGAGCATTGTCCTGATATGCCAAGGTTGTGGGTTCAATCCCCAGTCAGGGCACAGAGAAGAAACAACTGATAAATCAATAAATCAATAAATCCAATTTTGAAACAATCTACTTGACAAACACTTGGTCAATTAAAGATCCCTACTGAGGAGTTTTAAATTATCACATCTCCCTGTGTGATAACCCCCTCTCCCCCAATACCACCAAATAAATTCACCAATTAAAAGAGTAAAGAGTTTAAATACTGAAGTATGGGCTATGACAGCTTTTATCCGCAAAACATTTGTTTGCCGTTGGAACTTACTCTTCACAAAGGGCCCTTTCCTTGGAAAGAACTATTTGGGCTACAAGGAAAACTAAGAAAAACCGGAGCTCTGAGAAGTTGCACAGCCTCGCTTTGGTCCGGCTTGCTGTCGGCACCAGAGAGACCGACCTCGCCTGGCACTCAGACTCCTGTCCATGAGCAGCAGCCAGGACAGGGTGGTGTTTGCTTTGGTTTTAACACATACGTTTTGGCCATGGGCCTGGAGGAAGATTTTGATTTACTGAGCAGAGCTCAGTCAAAGGCATGTGGGAGCCTGTGCTGGCCCTCTGGCTGGGCCTGACCTGCTGTTGCCAGCCCGGGTCCATTTAGTGCAGGGAGGAAGTCCAGCCCAGTCCGTAACTCACTGGGTCCTGCTGGTGGGTTAAGTGAAGGACTGTGTCAGGAGCAGCATAGAAAGAACCTGAATGAAGTAGCAATGAATGGAGAGAGCCATTTGGATGGAATTGCCCTGGGTATTAAATAGGCCGGGCAGCTGGGGGCTGAAGGAAGCTTCTGTTGCTTAAGAAACTCTCCATAAGAGTGTCATTCATCAGCCCATTAACAGTTATTCATTTCGTACCTCCCACTAGTGTATACATTTGTAGATGTATGCAGAGCACCAGTGGGACCATGACAATGAACTGAGTTTATTATGAAAAATCTTTTTTTCCTCCTTCATAACCAATGCAACATTAATGCTATGACTGGACAAACAAGGAATTTAAGACATAAATGTATACAGCAGCATGACCTGATATTACCACTTGAATTCAGACCGCCCACTGCTCTCTCTAAGAGATAGGCAGTCATACTAAACAACATGAAGGCAACTTGAGATAGAGGTTTTAAAATGCTGGATCCCATCCTTTCTGGAAAAGGTCATTCCAGTCCTCTGTTATTTTTACCGTGGATACACTCAGCAAGTCCCTGGCTGAATGGATTTGGGAAGCCAGAAGCTGCTGCTTCTGACAATGAAGATAATGCAGCACTTGAGGCTGAGTGAATGAAAGGGGTGGAAAAAGTTGAACCCTTCAAAGATAAGAGAGAGAGAGCTGCCGAATTAGTCCCTGACTAAATTACTAGCCACAACTGTATCCAGGTCAAGTCACTTGGAAGCTGCCTGTAGTCTTGGGGCTTTGATTGGGAATTGCCATTCCCAAATCAAATTCTCCTGAAGGCATCCCAGTCCAACCCCCTCTCCCCAAAGCAACTCTTCCTGGGCATCCCACTCGACTCCCCCAAATTTGCATCAAGGCAGGTGTAAGTCCCTGCTGGACCCCTGCCACCAGAAGCAGGGCTTTCCTTCAGGGCTGGGCAACAAAACCTTAGGCTTCCCACCGGCCAGCAACCAAGGGCGTTGAAGAGAGGAGCAGAACACAAAAGGAACAAACAAGACCTGCCCTTACCCGCTTCTTAAAAAACTGGAAGGCTGAGCATTTCTTGACTGGGAATCCATTCATGTCTTTGTTGACCATTTTCCACAGCGGGAAGTTCACAGTTACAGATCCAGGGTGGCACTCGCCCGGTTAGTGCATCTGGTTCCCTCCTGGAGACCGCGAAGGAAGACGGAGCGGGATGGAGACTCCAGCGGGGCCCCGCAGGTTGTCACTCACACATTCTACGGCAGTGGCGACTGCAGCAACCTCTCCCCGCTTTCAATGGCCACCGGCAGAGGCTTCTCTCTTTCCATCATTGTTACGAAACACACGCATCATTGCTACGGGACCCTGGAATGCAGCGGACTCCCAGGAGATGCTGTGGCTGCTGCAGAGAGCGGGAGAAGGACCCCCCACACACCCCTGCCGCGCCCCCAGCTACCTGGATGCTCTGCGGCGGGTGCAAGTGGGCGATCGCCCTGCTCCAGGTGATGCGCTTCTGGGTGCTGCTCGGGAGGAGAGCTGTTTTTAATTGTGCAAGTTCCACTGGGAGCTGTAGTTAAGCAGCTGAGAGAAGGAGTAAGAAAAAGCAGATGCCAGAGGGAGGCAGGGAGGGAGAACCGCGCCAGAAAGGCACAGGGAGAGAGAAAGCGATGCTGGAAGACAGTGATTCATGAATATCTGAGTAGCGGATGGAGAGAGGGCATCAGCTCAGGACGTGCTGGCTGAAAAGCACTTGACTCCCCGCGGGCGGCGGGAGGGCTACTTTAATAGCTTTTTTTTTTCCCCTTTTTGTTGTAAGGAACCATTGACATCAGAATTTCATATAAAATGCAGATCGTTTTTATTTCGTGCTCATTCAAATTCTTTTGATACCGATTCCTGGAGAAAAGCCTCTTGATGGAAATTTCATCAAATTTATTCCTGACCTGTCCGTAAATGGAGAAAAATGAAAGTGCAAGCATAGGCATGACAATGGACGCTCTCTCTCTATGTGGAGCCTCTTTGAGCATCCTCTCCCTACTTGTCATAACAGTAGCAACAGTAAAGGCAATTGTGTCTTTTCCAATGAAGAAGCCTGTTAAAAAAAAGAACACGTTAGGCATATACAAAACTGTCTTATGAAGAAGCACAAAGAGCAAAGTCCATTTAAAGGAGGACTGGTGAATAAGAGAGGAAAGTATTCTTCTTATCACGTGGAAATCGGCCCCTAAAACCCTTACCTGTGTTATATTTGCACACTAAATTCATTTTTTGAAAAGCCACTTCATTTGTGCCTGTCCTATTTTTCCATGTTTCCTTTTTAATGTTGATATTTTATGGGGACATTTAAAAATTAGCGCTGATATCTAAGTGGAGAGAGCAATGAAAACACACTTGGCATCAGATCGGGCACTGCCCCCAGGACAGCAGTGTGTGGCTTTCTGCCAGCCACCTGACCTCACTGCCTCTCAGAAGTGCCTCATCCATGAAATGGAGGCAACCACTCATTCATTCCTTCATTGACTCCCTCATTCATTTAGTCATTCACTTGTTTGCTGTGTCATTCCATTTGCCCATCCGATCCAATCCAAATGTAGCAACTGTTCCCAGGATGTACAGCCTTTTCACAGTCACCACAAGGGAATATAATCGATAAATAAAGGGCAAGCACAATGCCTACTTGATAAAAACAACAGCCAGCTCATTAAAAACAAGCTACCTAACATTGTTAAAATATTTATACAACAGTCTCTGGTAAGAAGAGAAACCTACCGGTTAACTGGGAAAGAGATGTATTGATTTTATTAAACTGGAATATAAATATTTATAGTTGGACCAGGTATTTTTGTTGTTCCTTTTTTTTCTTTAAAGAGCTGTGAATTCTTATTTGCTAAATGCTTTGAGGTTTCCAAAAGAAAAGTACAATACAACCAAATGATGGCATTATGATCAAGGGAAAAGAAACTATTCATTTTGGAGAAATATGTTAAGTTGCCCAAGATGCAAGGGTCTGTTAATCTGCAACATTGATAGGTTTTGTGGTTTTTCTAAAGAATTCACTTAAAATTCTGGTAGCTAAAGAGAGAATTTTTGAGGATAATAGAAATGTTCTCCATAACAACTATGGTGGAGGTTATATAACTATCCATTTGTCAGACCTCATCAAACTTCATACAAAAAAAAAAAGATTTTTTTCTGTATGTAAATTATAGCTCAATAAACCTGATTTTTAAAAAAATCATGGCCATTCAAATTCTTTCCAGTTCCCCATGTTTCCTTTAAGATTTATTGAGTTTGAGTGATAGGTAGGAGTGGCTCTTTAAGCATCTGGTAGGAAGCCGGTGCTGGGGCCTTGTCCTGATTCCACATGGCCCTAGCAAGCATATTGGGATTAAGTACTGCATGTTAATTTGGGGTGAAGAGGGAATGGTTAATAGAAATTATGAGGGAGGAGGTTATAATTAAATTATATTCCTCCTCCTCCTCTTCACTATATGCCACCCCCTGGAGATGCTGCCACTGTCACCTAATCTATGTAAAGTCCTTTGGAAGATCCTGTGAATGTAAACATCAGTAGTTTTTGTCACTAAGAGAGTCACATCTTAGAGAAGAAACATACTGTGATAAGAATAACGTGTGTGTGTGTGTGTGTGTGTGTGTGTGTGTGTGTGTGTGATATATAAGCATTAACTCTATCTTGGCTTAATGGTGGGGGGGCATGGTGGCTTAGAGTGGGTGGGGAGGCCCACGGAGGTTTCCCCAAAGTAGAGGTTAGGGGTTGGCAGATGAAGAAGCACAGGGCAGGGGCTCTGACCAGATCAGGTAGCCTCTTATTTTGGGCTATATTTTGGTCATTGCAATCACAGAGAAATGTGTTCAGTACAGTGTGTTGGCTACTCAGGGTAAAAAGGCATCTCTCATCTCACTCTTACTTCTATTTTCATAAATAAAGCTGCCTGCACATAGGCCCAGCGTGACTACTATGCACTAAGTGCCTCCGTTACCAGGTGTGTTAATACTTACAAAGAAACACAGACTACTGCTGATGGCAAAACAGAAAATTACCCCTGGCCTCTGACAACATCCTATTTGCACATTGAACTTGTTTTAATTTAATTAATTTATTGACTTACTTCCTTTTCTCATTAAACACCCTTATTCATTTTTGTAGTCCCAGCATGCAGTGGAGTGCTGGGGCCAGGTTAGGTGCTCAATGAATGCTTTTCAAATCAACTAAATAAAACTATGTAGAGCTACATAGACCTGGCACCTGGTGCTGTGTCACATATAGAAATTTTTTGATATTTGCAACCATGTAAAACAAAGATTTATATTTTTGATATTTAGTTTATATATTTAAATGCCATTTAACAAAGAAAAATCAACCAAAAAAATGAGTTCACGTGTCATCTCTGACATGCATGCCATAGGTTTGCCATCATTGTTCTAGGCTATGGTTTTAGCTAGATTACCAAATAAACTGAAATTTTATTTATCTCTATTATAAAACATCCTATATAATAAAAGGCTAATATGCAAATTGTCCCCTCACCAGGAGTTCGACCAGGGCGCCGGCCGGCTGGACCCCACTCATGAACAAATTTGTGCACTGGGCCTCTAGTTTTATATAGAATTACAAAATTTAGTTCCTCAGTTTAAGAGAAGTTGTAACAGCTGTAAAAATGCATCCTGTCTACTTGTATCTCTGCTACTTTCTTTTTACCTGGACCCACGCTGACACCTACATACACATCCCTCTCCCTTTGTCTTTTGTCTCATTGGTTCTATATTATAAAATGTTACAGAACATATTTATGACATGGTCTCTTTTGACACAAAGACATAAAGAAATCCTCTTTCTTGTGGCAATGTGACAACATGTAGCCCAAGGGGACAAATCAATTTGTTAGTAATTGCTCATTTGAGTATTAGTGATAATTCATTCAACATAAACAGTGAATTTTACAGCTTTCCCAGATTTCACACATATGCATTCATTTCCATTCTCTTGTTTAAATCATACAAAGGATTTAGAACCTGCAAAGATAGTTTACTTTGAAGAAAATATATTCTTTTGAGCTCTTTTTTGACCCAACTGTCCTTATTATAGTGATATTTTATCTCTTCAGTCTGGGTATTTCCAATGTTGTAGCAATATTTTGACATTATATAAATCTCCTTGATGGAGACCTGGAAAACATAAAGATAAACAATTCCATACAATCACACATGTACATGGTCACTGGGAATGAAGAGAGCAGGTCAGCAGAGCATTCAACAAAGGTCATTTTTTTATTATTGATTACAGAGAGGAAGGAGAGAGAGATAGAAACATCAATGATGAGAAAGAATTATTGATTGGCTGCTTCCTGCACACCCCACACTAGGGATCGAGCCTGCAACCCAGGCATGTGCCCTGACCAGGAATTGAACCATGACCTCCAGGTTCATAGGTTGGTGCTCAACCATTGAGCCATGCAGACCGGGCTACAAAGGCCATTATTATTTACTAGAGGCCCAGTGCACGGATTCATGCATGGGTTGGGTTGGTCACCCACCCCGATCATGGCCAATGGAGCGGGGCAGGCTTGGGGGAGGGGATGTGGGAGATTGGCCAGCCAGCCCTGCCCCCAATTGGGGTGAGGGGGGCAATCAGGGGTGGGGCCTGGTTGAGGGGACAATTTGCATATTAGCTTTTTATTATATAGGATGAACTGGATTGCCTTCTGAATGACTGAAAAATGAAGGAGAAACTAGGTGGTAATGAATTTTATAACCTTTTTATAAGATGCATTTTTGGGGTATTTTTACTGATTTCTCTCTCTCTCTTTCTCTCTCTCTCTCTCTCTCTCTCTCTTCAACACTCAATCTTTCAGATCAGGTTTAATATAATTCCTTAAGTGAGGCCAGGAGGTCACATTTTTTTTTTTTAAATATATTTTATTGATTTTTTACAGAAAGGAAGGGAGAGAGAGAGTTAGAAACATCGATGAGAGAGAAACATCGATCAGCTGCCTCCTGCACATCTCCTACTGGGGATATGCCCGCAACCCTGGTATATGCCCTTGACCGGAATCGAACCTGGGACCTTTCAGTCCGCAGGCCGACGCTCTATCCACTGAGCCAAACCGGTTTCGGCAGGAGGTCACATTTTTAACGTGACTTGTCCATAAGATGTTCATTAACTACTTTTCTATGTACAGCACAAATGAACTGTGGTGTGGGAGGGCTGCTCCTGTCACTGTGTCACCAGGCTGTGCACGTGATAGAACAGGCTATTGTGATTAGTATTGATTGAAAAGACATTAAAGGAAAACTGGTAGCCGGGTACCAGAGTCTTGTTTTCTATAAGCATGACCTTTGGCTTTATCTCTATGTGCACCATGAAATGAAAAGCTGATTTTTATAATACCTATGTAACAAATTTTCATGAGGAGTTACAGCTACTCATTTTGATGATTTTCCCCATTATTAATTATAAAATCAGTCAAATAGCCTCTCCCTATAAGTAACCTTCATAATCAAAAGAGATGAACTCATCCAGACCTGATTCTGGTAGAGATGAAGAATTTGAGTCATAAGATTTACATTAACCTTTCCATCATTTCCTAAAGTAAAGAGACCTATCTGTAAGGAGTTGGATGAACAGTTTACGCATTTCCAGATGAATTGGAAAACATAATT